CACTGTTGTTTGAGGGGCTTATTTCTAGTCTTTTTTTTGTCATTTTTAAAGAATCAGTGAAGTCGTTGGGAGAGGCCAGTTCTGAGAGATAGCAGATTCACTCAAATGTGAATTGAAGATTGGGAAGGGGAGAAAAACTTCTATGACAATTTACTTGCTTGTGAAAGGGTTGGTTTTTTGTTTTTGTTTTTGTTTTCTGTTTTTTTTTTGTTTGGTTTTTTTTTTCCCACTCCCTAGGGCACACTGTAGATAGATGAAGACTGATTCTTCATTGCCTCTCTGTATGCATTTTTTCCTACAAGAGATGCTGCAAACTTTTCTTTAAGGCATAAGAGGGCGCAGAGCACAGATGTTTCTGTCTTAATTGTTTAGGCCCAAGGATATTTGTGGTTTACCAGAGGAAAGCAAGTGTGTACATAACACTTGCTGAAATGAAGCCTAGTAAGACTAGGCTTTTCTGAACTCTTGCCTTATACATACCAAACAGTCCTGGTTTTTGAAGGTCTCATTCTGTTTATCTGCGGTTTGCTTTCTGGCAGGCTGAAATTATCTGGGGCTCAGGTGGTGGCCTGAGTTCCTGTTGTCTTCATCTACTATGTGATGTTGGAGAATCTTTCAGTGTCACCTGCCTGACATCTTTCATGTGACATGTCAGTGCAGGTAAGGTACAATATTTGGAGTTGAGCACAGTCTCTTCTCCTCTTCAGTATACAGATTAAGATACTTTGAGGTTGTCCTGGTAAAAGGTTTACAAATGGGCAGAAACAGGGGCATGTAACTCTTTGTTGTGGCCATTTCCACTCGGCAGAGTCAAGGTATCACTGAAGACCATGTCAAAACTCTAATTGGTATAAGTCAGGTCAGGACTGGATTTGAAGAAAAACAGATATGAGGGAACTGAGGATGTTATAGGAGAGCAAATAAAATACAAATTTCTGATAATCTGAAATTAGAGTTTCAGCCAGGTAAACTAGATTAAAAGCAAAAAAAAACCCCATAGCTGAACACTTTTGTAATTTAAATTAACCATTTCCTAAAATGCAGAATGGAGGAGAGCATTCATTTAGTGTTCCTGCTTTGTTGTTCAAAGGAAGCCTGTAGAATTTGCTCTTTCACCTTGTACAGTGAAGGATCACTTACATCATTAGTTTGTATAAAGTTAGTTCCTAAACAATACTTTTAAATGTTTTTTTTAAACTTAATTTCAAGTGGCTGTAGTTTTCAGTAGAAAAATGAAAGCAGTTGTAGACACTGAAATTATGAGGTAGGGGAGCCACACATGCGCATATTTATGGCGTTATTGTCCCAAGTAACACATGTAATGCAAAAGCAGGAGTGCTTTTTCTATTTCAGTGGAAAGCAGGGGCATAACTGAAAGTGTTGAGCTGCTACTAATCTGTTATTGCAATTAGCTACCTCTGTCACATTTTATATGAAGAAGAAAGGGGGGATAAATTGAAAGTAGCACATAAAATATTGTTTTAACGTTACTGCTGACTAGATCTGTAAATGGAAATAATAAATCCTTATACAGCATTGAGTGTAATACTAAAGTATTCCCACTAGCATATGTTATTTCCAGCTGTTCTAAACTTTTATTTCTTCTATTTATATATCTCTCTTTTTGAAGAGGTTGGACCTGACATGGTGCTCATGGTTAGCTCTTTTTGTGTTAGCAAATCAGTTTTGGCTAGATTCTACAGTCACAGTGGATATAATGGTTTTATAAAAATCAAATAATGATTACATTGTAATCTGCTGGGAGGGTAAGACAAAATAAATTTCCATAAAATATTGAAATTAAATTGTATGAACTATTTTTTTTTTAATTGCTTCTAGATATGCTTATAAGTGGAAGGGAGTTGATGTGTCTTTACATTTATCATCCCCAGAGCTCCTTAGGTAATACAGTAATAGAAATGTTTAGCGTTAAAGCTCATGTGAAAAAAATGGCATGTATAAAAGTTTCTGAAGTTCAGATTGAAAGTTTAGGTGAAAGCCTAAGTATTATTTGCATCAGTTTTGGACTTAAGGTACAAGAGTAGCATTCAAGTTCAGTGCTTTTGTTTGAGTTCTTGAGTTTCCTTGAGTGTCTGATCCAAATTTGTGTTACTGACTTCTCTTTGCATTGTATCAGATTCAGAAGATGTGTAATGCTCAGAATGAAGAAGGTAGTGACGTATCTTGTGTTGCTGAAACACACAAGTTTGTAGACCAATTACTTTAAAAATAATTCAGTTTACGAAACTGAAACTTGGGAGGTTATCTCTGAACATGAAATAACGCTTTTTTTAACTGTGAGGGTGACTGAGCACTGATACAGTTTTCCCTGAGACATTGTAGAATTTCCATCCTTGAAGATATTCAAAAGCTTTCTGGACATGGTTCTGGGCAACTGGTTCTAGGTGACCCTGCTTGAGGCGGGGGGTTTAACCAGATGGCTTCCAGAGATCCCTTCTAACCTCAATGTTCTGTGAGTGGATGACTTGAAAAATCTTAATTGTCATAGAATCACAGAATCGTTCTGCTCCCTGCTCTGCCAATTCCCTGGGAAGGGACTTCTTTCATGAGATCATGTTGCTTAAAGTCCTTGTGCAACCGGACTTTCAACACTTCAGCAGTGGGGCATCTACCACTTCTCTGGGCAACCTGTTCCAGTGTCTCTCGCTACCCTTACTATAAGCAGTTTCTTCCTTATGTTCAATCTGTATCTACCCTCTTTAAGCTGAAAATTATTGCTGCTTGTTCTGTCGCTATGGGCCTTGGAAAAATGTCTCTCCCTATCTGTCTTATAAGCCCCCTTTATATACTGAAAGGTTACAGTAAGGTCTCCCAGGAGCCGTTTCTTATGCAGGCTGAAAAAACCCAACTCTCAGCCTTTCTTCAGAGGAGAGGTTCTCTAGCTCTCTTAACAGTTTTTGTGGCCTCACTCTGGACCCATTCCAACAGGTCCATGATTTTTTTTTTTGTACTGGGTACCCCAGAGCTGCATGTAGGAAACCTGAGAACAGAGTAGAAGGGGCCGATCACTTCCTTTGACCTGCTAGCTGCATCTTGGGAGCTTTTGTGAAGGTGTAACTACACACTCATATGAAGACATGCACAAACATGATCTCTTCAAATGTTTGCTAAGAGAGATCCAGCTTCAAAGGATAGATTTCACAATTGTGGTAGGAAGTCACTGTATTAAAACTTATGAGCTTTGTTAAGATCAGAACATAGTACTGATGTTTCTCAAAACTGATCTAGTTGGCTTGGTTACAGTGCATGCTAATGGATCTATTTCTGCTTCTGACTTGCAGTAGTTGCACCTCCAGAGAATATTTTTGCATTATCTGTTGATTTTTATACATAAAAGTTAAGGGTTGTTGTGCTTTAACCCCAGCTTGTGACTAAGCCCCAGCTGGTGGGATGGGGGAGAGAATCAAAAGAGTAAAAGTGAGAAAACTTGTGAGTTGAGATAAACAGTTTAATAGGTAAAGCAAAACCGTGCACATAACCAAAGCAAAACAGAGAAAGTTTTCACTGCTTCCCATCGACTGGCAGGCGTTCAGCCATCTCCAGGAATGGTGTGAGGAGCAGAAAAGGCCTTTACTCTTGAGTAAGCACTGCTTAGTGAAAATTAAAACATCCCGGTGTTATCAACACTGTTTACAGCACAAATCCAAAACATAGTCCCATACTAACTACTATGAAAAAAAATGAACCCTATCCCAGTCAAAACCAGCATGTGTAAATAATGGAATAATCGATACATCTCCCCTTATTAAAACAAAACAAGTAAACAAGAAAGTAAACAAGAAAAAGTGTAGTCCTACTAGTCCTTCAAATTTGGCATACCTCAATTCTTCTTTGGAGATTGATTTCCAAATCTATAGTCAATGTCAAAGGAGAAGGTGTAGTGCAATCACATTAATTCATCCCTGTGGAAATACCTTCAGTAATTCATATGAAAAGATGTCCTATTACTCCTATATAGAGTCATCATTGTAGTCAAATTTTAAACAACAAATTTAGCAGAGTTTTCATCTGTTCTGTTTCCAGAGTATGAGCTTATAAATTGTGGAAGAAATACGTACATATTTCCTAAGTACATGAACATGCACTCTGTATTGCAGAGTTTGTACCCCATTTGCCATATTCAGACCACAGAGTCACTCAAGTCTTCCTGATGTTGTTTTGATCTTCCACTATACGGAAAGTGAATCTATATTTTTGTCTCATCTCTTAACCCCAGAAACATGTTTCTTTTTCCAGAGCTGTGTTTTTGTTTTTGTTGTGTTTTTTTTTTTTCACCAGGAAACGTTGTTTCCAAAATATACCCTTCAGAAGATCCTCTAGTAGAATAGCAGGTTGCTGTTTGTCCCTGTGCCAGTTTCGTATTTATCATTCTTTTCTCATCATGTTCTCTTTTCCTTTAGCTTAAATTATTATTTTGTATGTGATACTGTAGTGGTTGTTTTACTGCAGTCAAGATAAATGAAAGCTGTAATGTACCCATCTGGGAAATTAATTTTGTTATCAAAAATGTAAAATAAAACTGGCACAGTTGACTTTTGGTAAGCTCATACTGCATTTAATTAAATTTCCCATTTACGTCAATGCTGTTTTTTATCTTTATAATTTAAGTATTGTGCAATATTGAAATGTGACTAATGGGCTTTCCATTCAGGAATTGCTACCAATCCATATCAGTTTCTTAAATACAAGTGTTACCTTTTGTTTGCTTCCTAACAATTCTAGATAGTGAGTGTTTACAAACATGGAGTAAAAGGTGACTTCAGTCAGTTTGCCACCATCCTTGCCTGATGACATGCTTTCCTAAATTATCTGGTCACCTTACACTACCCTTAACATAAGGGAGGGATGATTGGTACCAGTGTTGTGACATCATTCTCAAAGCAAAACTGGATGGTATATCCTGTTTAATCCTGTTAGTGTGATCATGTGTAGAAATCTTCAAAAACATTAATATTAATATAATCTTCTTTGTCTTTCAGAACAATGGGTCACTTGCTTGGTGCCAGAATCATAAACAGTGTTCAAAGGTACGTCCTTTTCCCCTGTCCCCCTCTCATTTAAGTTATCTAGCTGCTTTCAATCTCTTGTCCATAAATTAAGCGCTTTTCATCTTAACCTGTTCTCAGAAGCACTTGTTTATATTTTTATTTGGAAACCTCAACCTATAATAAAGTATCCCAAATTAAAACCAAATGATTTACTCTTTCAGGACAGAGGAGTCATGTTTGAGGATATGTATGAAGCATAGTTAAACCAACATAATTCTGTCGTTATCAGCAGACTTTATCCTGGCTAAAATATGGTGTATCATTTATATTCTTTGAGTATTTTTGGTCCTAAGACAGTGAAACTGTCAATCACTTAAAAATCTTCCTTCAGCAGTGCAGAGGTGTATCAACTTCTAACATTTTGTTTTGGTATTTGTTTTTTTAACCTGACAGATTTTCTTTGAAAATATTCTTGATACAAATCCTAGTGGCACTACTGGTGCCCTGCGCTGTCTTAGCACTTTAAGCCTGGAGGCCTAGAGGGTAGGTGAGCTGTCAGCTGATTCTGTTGTGCAAGAGTCTTTTTATGATGCCTGAATAGAAACAACAAGGGAACCTTGGTAGATCAAAGTTGAATGACACACTGGTGCTGGCTGTTCATAAATGTCATGGAAGATGCATCCATTGAAAATTTACATGAAAATGCTGAAGGTAGTATTTTTGTCTAATCTCCCTGAAAATGTGTTTTTACAATAATTTAGGCTTTTTAACTTCAATAATTATTCCTTATTCTATGAAGGTTTTATTGCAAATGGGATTAAATCCAAGTAGCATTGTTCTGTATTGTTTCAATAATGTAATCTATAAAAATGCTAATCCTTGATTTTAACACATAACAATTTATTCTCTACATTTAAAGAGTGAAATTACTGTTTCACTAATCTAGTTTCTATTGAAATAAATGGGATTAGAAATGGACCAATTTGGTATTGACTGTTATCTCAGGAAAATAAATGTCATTTGATTGCTTTTGTCAGTATTAAAACCAGGGTATAACAAGGTCAGTATAAGAAGAGAATGGAACATTTTCTATTAGCTGTACCATGCTGCTGAGGGTTGCAACGGAATCTTATTATTCCTAAAAGCACCCAAACAAACAGAGGTGCAAAGAATGTGTTTTGTCACAACTGAACTGACTTTTAAGGAAAGCATGGGGTTCTTCTGCCACAGTGATCCTGATGTAATTTTCTTTTTTACTTGGTTATGGAGACTACCATGGTATGTCTGAATCTGAAGGTTTTCCAGTGCTTTGTGTCTGCTCAACAAAGAAGGTATCATACAAGACAAGTTGTCCAGCTTTTAAATCAGGGCAGAAGTTATAGGATTGTCTCTCCAAGTCACTTCCAAGTTCATAGAATCCACATATAAGGTGTTGTGAATTTAAGGCTTACCTTAGGCTTCTATTAATTTCTTAAAATCCATGTAAGATTCTATAAAATAATATGATAATACAAAATGCAACAACAGTTTAAATTTTAAATTACTTGACATGTACTTTACAGTTGTTACCTTATGTTTTCATTCCTTCTTAGGAAGGTAATACATTTTCTTTAAAAAAAGCAGCTTTGTCATATTTAGAAAAAGAAAGAAAAATAAGCTTGGTCAAATTGTTAGCAGAGCTGAACATTAGACAGTGTTCTTGTTTCAGGCAAGCTTTGTTTTTCTGTATTTTCAATGCGAAGTCAAACGATTGCCTTGCCTAACTGAAGTTTTCAAAGCAATGTAGGAGATTTGAATTAACCTTTTTAAAATTGCAAATCCTTTCACTGCTTCTCAGGACCTCAGTGGAGGAAGTTTATATATGTATGATTCTGCTAAATATTTCTGATAACATTTTACTAAAGGGTTCTCTCAGAATCTGCTTTTGTGATTGTGGTGTTTCAGCCACTCCTCTCCCAGTTTACACTTGTATCCAGCATTACTTTGTCCCAGACGCAGAATTTAGTATGTTAATTTGTTAAATTTTATCCCGTTAATCATAGCCCAACGCTCTAATCTATCCAGACCCCTCTGCAAGGCCTCTTGTCCCTCAAGAGAATCAGAAGCACGTTCCATCTTGGTATCATCATAAACTTGCTAATGGTGCATTCAACTCCTGCATTCAAATGATTGAACAGAACTGGCCCTAGAATTGAGTCCTGAGGAACACTACTGGTTACTGGCCCCGTTCACTACAACCCTCTGAGCTCTGTCCTTCAGCCAGTTCTTCACCAAGTGCACCATGAACCCACTCATCCCGCAGTTGTACAGCTTGTCCAGAAGGAAACTGTGAGGGACGGTATCAAAAGCCTTACAAAAATCTGGAAAACTACATCCACCACCTTCCCTTCATTCACTGGGTGGGTGACCTTACCACAGAAGGATATCAAATAAATTAAACATGACTTTCCCTTTGTGAACCAATGTTGACTGTGCAGTGATGCTTGCATTGTTCTTTAAATGCCTTTTGATAGTACCCGATAAAATCTTCTCCATGATTTTACCAAGAACAGAGGTTAGACTGACAGGTCTGTAATTCCCTTGGTCTTCCCTCACATCCTTTTTGTAAACTGGAATAACACTGGTTAGCTTCCAGTCACTGGGGACCTCCCCAGGCTCCCAAGACCTTTGGTAGGTAGTCGAGAGGGGTCTTGCAGCAGCATCCACTAGCTTCTTCAGTACTCTGGGATGAATCCCATTAGGCCCCATGGATTTGTAAACATTCAGCTGGTACAGCTGGTCCCTTACAATTCCAGTGTCCACAAATGGAAATTGTTCCCACAGTTATGGGTCCTCCAACTCAGGAGACCAGGCAGCCCAAGGTCTATCAGTACTATTAAAGACTAAAGCAAAACCTGTGTTGAATGCCTCTGCTTTTTCTTCATTGCTATTAGTGAGATGACCATCTTCAACAAGTATTGGTTCAATGTTTACTTTAGACCTTCTCTTGCTTATTAATGTGCTTTAAGGAGTCCTTCTTGTTATTCTGCACAGCACTGGCCAGTTTCAACTCTGAGCTTGGCCTTTCGTATCCTCTCCCTGCATCTGCAAACCACAGCTCTGTAATCTCACTGTGAAGCCTGACCTTGCACCCAGAGATCCATACAATTTCTTTTTCTGCTTGAGCTCCACAAGTAGTTTCCTGTTCAGCCAAGTTGGTCTTGTGCCCCACTTGTTTGATTTACAAGACAGTGGAGTTACCTGGTCCTGTGCTTCTAAAGGATATTCCTAAAAAGTGACCAACACTCACGGACTTCTAAGGCCTCAAATCTAGATTCCCAGGGTCCTTTGCTATGTAACACCCTGAATAGCTTGAAGTTTGCTCTCCTGAAGCCCAGAACAGCAACCCTGCTGTCCTTTTATTCTAATACACTGAAAATTTTAAACTGGACCATTTCATACCACTGTAGCCAAGACAGCCACGTACCATCACATCTTCCATGAGTCCTTCTTTATTCATAAGCAGCAAGCCTAGGAGGAAATCTTTCCTAGTTGGACTCCCTGAGTACTTATGACAAGAAGTTATCTCCTACAAACTTCAAGAATTCCCAATACCTGCTCATCACAGGAGTATGATGAGTACACAGGAGTATGAGGAGTACACAGTTGTTGTATGGGAAGTTGAAATCTTCCATAAGTACAAGGGCTGCTGGTGCAGAAATTCCTCCTAATTGCCTATAGAGTAACTCACCAGTGCTAACATTCTGGCTAGTTGGTAGCAGACACCCATTACACCATCTCCTTTGTTTTACATCTCCCTAATCTTCACACTGAGGCTCTCAACCACGTTGTCACTAAGGGCTGTACAGTCAAACCTTTCCTGCCTATCTCTTCTGAACTATTGTTCTCCACCCCAGTACTACAGTCCTTGTTAATCATTCCACCAAGTCTCACTAATACCAATTGTATTATAGTTTCAGGAACTAACCAACTCTTTCAGTTCATCCTGTTTGTTTCTGATACTGTATGCATTCGTGTACAGGCATTTCAGATATTCTCTTTCTCCGTGTTCCCAGGAGCAGCAAAAATGTTCCCTCTAGCATTGCCACCCTCATTCAGATTGATACTACATGGTATAGAACTTGCTGTATCTCTCAAGTTCCCATTTAAACTTGGTCTAGACAATGAAAGTTAGAATTTATCTTTTCTTTACCAGTAGATTACTGGCAGTCTGTCAGACTTGCTGAGTAAGGCAAACGTGGGCTTTTACACCACATCATGAGAAAGTAGAGAGACTGGTGAAAAAACAGACTGCACTGGGCTGGGTTAGGCTCAGTATTTCTTGACACACATTCATTGGACCAGTATCTTTGTCTCAGTAATCTCTACTCATTCCTGAACATCACATGGGTCAAAAGCTTGTTTGTGGAGAAAACCAGACAAGTAGACACTTGCTTCTCTTCTTCCACATACGTGACTACATAAAACCCCAGCTCCTGTTGCCAACAGCTGGACTCCTTCAGACTAGAAGCTCTGCAGATTGTATTGTCTGGCTGGGGGAAGAGCCAGTATATTTATGCAAGTTGGACTTAAGTCTTGCAGCATAGCACAATGCTTGGCTTTCGTGTTGCAGTTAAAAATATTTTCATGCCTATCCTCTGTAGTCTGTCTTTAAAAACAGAAGATGAATAATATTTTGACATGGGTTACATGTGTAGATATGCAAATGAAAACACCTTATTCTTCCTTTTCTCTCTGATTCATCATATTTTCTATGATATCTCATACTCTGAGTTACTGAAGTAATTATTTTAAAGTGCTATTATATACATGATGAAGTAGTGTCTGTAATATATTAGTCTCATCTAACATATAATAACCTGTTAGTTTAAAGAATTCAACTTGTTTCCAGTACAGGTAGTCAGTCAGTTTTGATACATGTTTGTAACTCAGCACATTTTGTTTGTAGTAATGGTTAAATTGCCTCTAAATTGAAACATGCAGAAAAAAAACTTTTAGTTTTTGATGTAGTGGCAGCTGCCAGGGAGGGAAGAGTAGGC